CCTCAATAGAGAATTGAATCTCTATAATCCAAGCAACCAAGCTTAAAAATGGAAAACAATTATAGGGTTTTGAAGAAGAGAGTAAGAGGAAACTTTTATCTCCCAAGGTTTTTAGTCTAAGGTGAGTGGAAGGAAACCAAAATGAAGAAGAAAGTTATTAACCAAGCTTTTCTCCAATAGTGGCTAGGTTAGGGTTTTAAAGAACAAAGAAATGAAAAAGATAAAGTGTAAAATGGTGAGTGGAAGGTATAGAAATCCTCCACTCTCTATGTGTCCTTACACTATCTCTCTCACACACACAATGTAAAACTAAATGGTGAGCTTACACTTGTCACAAATCCAAGGCTTCTTCCTAGGCTTAATCCTAAGCCTACACTTGTCAACCATCTAAGCCAACAAGTGCATCAATCCTAGGCCAACAAGTAAGTGAGTCTCCACCCTCCAAATGTCAATAGGTTATTCTTTCAAGTCTCCCCACCCAAATGCCAACAAGTGGCTCCATGAGAATGAGATACTTGTCACATTTTTTAAAAATTACAAAAAGGTCATTTTTCAAAATATCTTCCAAATTAAATTGCAAAAAGGTCCCTAAGACGAAAGATAATTATTTTATATAATTACACTAAAACCCTAAAAATTAAGAATAATTACAATAAAGTATACATCCATACCCTTTACGAAAATGTAAGTAATTAGAATGTATTTTCTACAAAACAGAAATACAATGATCATAGAAATCAAATATCATGAATGCATGCAAAACTAGAATCAAATCCGAGTACAAAAAGTGAGGTTATGCAAAGAAAAAATGATAAACGAGAAAAAAACGAAATAAGGAAAAGTCAAAATAGGAAAAAGACGAAAAAAGAAAATCACCGAAAAAGGAAAGGAAGGAAAATGACAGGGTCATTAAACGCCACCCCACATATGCCAATGTATATATTACGTAGTATATATAAGCAGTATATATATATATATATATATATATATATATATAATTATTTTCCTAACAAATAATAGGAAAATAAATCCTAATAAATTCCTAAATATATAGAAAAATATCAGAAAAATTCCAGAAAATTCCAGAACAATTCTAGAAAATAAAAAAACCCTAATTAACCCTCTTGGGTTATAAATCCACCTATAGATTGATTTTAAAATATATATATAACACCTATATATATTAATTAAAATCCAATAATCTAAAAATCAAATATAATAGTTTATACTTTTAATTATTCCGATCTAACCATGATTTTTAAACAAATAAATTTAATTAAAGTATTGATACTCAAGGTGAAATCCATATGAGTTTTAAGAGGAAAGATATAGAAGAACTCGCCTGAAGGTTTCAAAACGAAATCGACGCTTCAACCTTTAATTGTCTTTTCCAAATCCGACATCCTCTTCTCAGATCCGGCCTCCTCATTGTCAGCCATTTTTTTTCCTCTCTCTCTGCCTCTCTTATTTTTCTACGTGTAAAAGTTTTAACCCTAAAGCCTTATATGTATATTTATACACATTAGAATACAAATCATATTCCTATTAGGACTACCAAATAAAATAATAATCTTTACATATATTATATTACATGTGTATATATATATATATATATCATTGCATAACATGTATTAATTAATTATATTTATATATAATTAAATATATATATTTATAATTATACAAAAATGATCATTTAAATAATCAAATAATCATGGACCTTTATTAATTAAACCAATAAGGCTTCATACAAGCCCAAGACCACATCTTTTGGTCCAACTTCCCTTAAACCCACATCCAATTAATTTAAATAAATTAAATAATTAAATAAACACTTAAATTAAAATAACTAATTACATGAAGTACATAAACAAAATAAGAAATTATAATCAAGTCACACCGTACCAATAAAATCAACACACCAATAATTCAATCAATAATCAAATACACACATAGCAATCATCATATCAGTTCAACAAATATAATCACAAAATATAATCTAATTAATGTAAGACAATTAATCTAAGCACTCAATTAAATAAAATAAATCATTAAAAATAAAATTAAAGAAATTAATCCCAATTAAATCAAACAAATCATTTAAAAATAAAACAAAAGTAATTAATCCCAATTAATAAATCCTTTAAAATATCGAGGTATTACAGACTTGAAGTCTGTGCAATTTGTAGACACAAATTTTATGTGTTTTTCCCTTGGCAAATTGGCCTATCAATATGAGTCTCATATTTATTTAAATTGTTTACTTGGCCCAAACTTAGTCAATTTAAATTATTTAACTAGTCTACCACAGTTAGTTAAATAAAAAGATAATTATTCCCAATAAAATATATTCGGGGATAATTACCCTAATGAATAATTATAACAAACACAAATAAACACACGCACAATCACACGAACAAACACACGCACACGCACAAAAAAAAAAAAAAAAGCACATGCACATGCACACGCAGGCACACGCACAATCACACGTAAGATAATTATTCCCAATAAAATATATTCGGAATAATTACCCTAATGAATAATTATAACAAACATAAATAAACACACGCACAAGCACACAAACACGCACACACAAAAAAATAAACAAAAACAAGCACATGCACAAGCACACGTAGGCGCATACACAAACACACGTAGGCGCACACACAAACGCATGCACACGCACGCACAAAAGCACGCACTCGCAAACACACACCCGGCCCAATTATGATTGTGTGTTTATCCAGGAAGTCTATAAATAGAGACATGGAGGAAGGAAGAAGGGACATTAAGAAACTCAGAAATTTGGGGATCTAGAAATTCGATACTTAGAAATTTAGAGAACCAGAGATCCAGATTCCAGAGTAAAATACAGAAGCTCTGTTGACATTCATGCCCAACATCCAAACATTGAAGAAAAATAACAACAAGCACAACCAATGCCGTGCCATTCTTCCTCAAATTCAAAAAAGAACAACAAGCACATCCAAAATCATGTCGTTCTTCATCAAATTCTCTGAAGGCGAAGAATAACAAGTACATCCAAAGTCATGTCGTTCTTCCTCAAATTCACTAATTCTCTGAAGACGAATAACAACAATCTGAAATCATGCCGATTCAACAACTTTGAAGAATTATCAAACGACATTGTTCGAGATCAAGCTTTGTTATCTCTCGATCAAAAATCAACGGTTGTCTTTCTCAAGTACAAATTGAAGATCCAAGGTTGTTGACAAATCGATTCAAGATCAAGTCCCACCGGTCTTTGGATTCAACTAACAAAGAGACTGAATCAAAAGACAAATTCTTTCTTTTATAAAAAATATCTCAGAAAGTTTCAATTTTTATAAATAAATAAATTATTATTATTTTTTTATATTTGGTTCTTTAATTATAGATACAAAATTTATGTGAACATCTGATTATAAATGGAAGGTAAGGTGGGTTACGAAATTTATGGGTTACGTTTTGTTATATCACACACTGTTAGAGCAACCCGTATAAATTAGATTTTTGCTAGCAAATGAGTTAGTAATGCGATAGCAAGGGATGGTGTGGTGCTGGCTAACGTTGGGTCAGCACATTGTGATAGCAATCTTCATCGCCACATTTAGCAGCCTGGTTGCTAGTCCAAAGTGGGCCCAAAGCTTCTATCGTTTGTTTGTTTCTTTTTGTTAATAAAAACTCTACCAAAAACTAATAAAATAATAAATAATTATAATCATACGGTTAACTTTGACTAACAAATTACCGTAACTAGCCAGCACAGCAATCCACATATGCATTGCCAGCGTGTAGCTATTGCTGTACCGGCTGCCCTTTACTCGTCAACTCTTCTTGTCGGTGGGCAATAATGACATTCAGAGAAGTACAGCCATCTTTAAAGAGAGAATCAATTGATTGAAGCGGGTCCCAGTGGCATGTGATTGGTGTTGAATTGCATGCATGTATTTAGGAAAAATTATTACTCATGCCTTAAATTTTAGGGAAAATTACATATAAATGGAGTCAAAGTTTCATATTTACTTAGAGGCTGAGTCAAAATTTCATATTTCTCTAAAATGGATTACTGAGGTGGCACATGGTTTTTTACTGTTTAGAAATTGTGGTGCCTAAAATACCCTTCCGTGAAGGTATTACTTTTTCTTCAAAGGTACCACTTTTTTGAACTGAAGGTACTACTTTTTGGTGTCCAGGTACTATGTTTTTTAAACACCCGCGAAGGTACTACTTTTTCTCCAGAGGTACTACTTTTTTGAACTGAAGGTACTACTTTTTTGAACTGAAGGTATTACTTTTTTGTTAAGGAAGGGCATTTTAGGCACCATAATTTTTTAAACAGTAAAAAACCATGTGCCACCTCAGCAATCCATTTTAGAGAAATATGGAACTTTGACTCAGTCTCTAAGTAAATATGAAACTTTAACTCCATCTATATGTAATTTTCCCTAAATTTTATACGAAATCCTTTATTAGTTTAAATGAAGTAAATAAGATTTAAAATTTAAAATTTATTCAATTCATTCAAGTGATAGAAATATCTGAGTTAGAGGCTTGATTAAAGTTACAAATTCAAAAATTATTATCCAATTATTCGGATCAGAGGTTATATGAAAATGTGGATAAAAAAAATAAAAAATTATGTTCGTTCAACTATTTTATTTGAGCGGAATTGACCTTATAATAATTTTTAATAGTAAATTGTTCACATAAAAAGTAGTTGAAATTATAAAAATTCTCAAAATACACCTATTTAGATAAACGAATTAAGTTATGAAACTGCATATTAGATGACTTTATCTTCAATGTTCTTATGATATTTACGGATTTCATATCTATTTTAGAGATTCCATTTCTACTAGGATAAAGGAAGTAACAAAATGTAAGGGAAATAGCACTAAATTCTTTTCACTTTCAACTTTGTTTAAATTAAACTCCGTTTTATGAAATTTATGATACAGAACCCATATCCACTTAACCAAATCATTCAGCCGGACAAATCCCCCAAAAATTTCTTTTGACTTATTCCCTCTAAAATCAAACATACCTTCACTACTCATGCATGTTCCTTACACGCACAAAACACTTGCCTACTGTGGGTGGCTATAGGTCAAGTATTTTGCATCATAATAAACATAACCATGCCAGAAAAATACAAAATAATAATAAAAATGACATCTATGAAGTATGAACCAACCAGGTAGCTATAACCGGGCCCGCACCAGTTTAATTGTCAGCCGCCTTATATATTTAAAAATCATAGAAGAATTCCTGGAAGAGTTTCATGTGTTGGGCTTGCAGCGATATTGGAACAGATAAGCTCCCATCATTGGTGGGACTTGGTAAAACAAATGCTAATCCTTCATATGCAATCCCACCAGGTCCCATGAAAATTGGCCTGCCCCAACCGAAATCTGCATCATGGATAGGCAGCCTAGCCCAACTGGTTATCCCGAGATTCGGACACCTAAAAGTATGGGCACCACGGACAAGGGGCTTTAGATCAGGCTGCAATTCTAAGTAATCAAGAGCTGACCTCAAATAATTGTTGTCCATCCGCACTAATGCATCGTGAATTCGACTGGCGGCATGCCAAAGTGGCTTTGATTGAAGATCCCCGGCTACTGCGATAGGAGTGGCATTGAAGATCACATTTCCAAAGTAGCCAGGTGGGAGTGGAGGTTCGAGCCTGGACCGTCCATCTGTGGCAACGTACAGCTTTGTTTCTTGATCATCTGAAAGTCCACGGGCTTTGCACGCACAACGCCATACGTGCAATGCTAGCATTTCATATGAGCTATAACTAACCGTATTCCCATTTACCTTTGATTTGCCTTTGAGAACGTTGAGTTGGTCCCGGGTTAACTTGAAAACAGAAACCACAGCCGATTGGGATTGATCTGTTGTTGTTTGGAGAGAAACTTTCATAGCCGGAGGGGGCTGGTATTCAATGTGGTGGAATGCAGGCTGGGGTGGGTTGCGGGCAGCTAGGAGGGTCCGGTCGATGAATGGCGGTATCTTGAGGTCTAGACTACGAGCCATGTCGGACCATGTGTTGATAAAGTGGAGACCAGAAGCACCGTCTGCCACGCGATGTTGCATACCAACGCCAAGCGAAACTCCACCACATTTGAAATGCGTGAGCTGTTAATTCAGAACCATAACAAACAAAATATCATCATGCTAAAGCTAGCTAACTCTTAATTAATAAATATTGAGCAGACCCAAGAGTTGGACATATTAATCAAGTGACGGAATCAAAAAATTGTGAGGGGATAAAATTTTAATGAAAAAAATAAAAAAAAAATTCAGGGAGGGAATTATAATTTTAGTTAGCGTATCTTCATAAATTCTCAAATATTTAAAATATAAAATGCAAAAGAAAAAAAAAAAATTAATAATCCAGTAGAAGCACATTGTAATTTTAGCAGTGACATTTTCATACATTCTATAACATTTGAAGAAAAAAATGAAATTTACAGACCGTCCAACATCATACTTAGAGCTAGCTAGCTCATAATTAATAAATAAGTAATGATAGGAGTACCAAAAAAAATTATCGAATTAACATTGAAAATAGGCCATTGCTTGTTAAATTATTATTTTTTAAAAACTGTTTAAATAGATTATGTGGATAAATACACATCAGATTCTTCTTTGATCTCCCAAACATTATTCTTAATAAATATTGAGCAGACTCAAGAGTTGGATATATCGAATCAAATGCAACTACTTTAAAATAGCTAGCTAGATTGCATGTTTTTCTTAATTTAGACAAATAATAGTAATATACCAAAACAAAAATGTACCTGCAAGACTAGGAGAGGAAAGGATTCAATCCCACCAGAGTAATCAACAGCCGGAACGAGACACCGGAGTTTGGAAGTGGGTGCAAAGTCACCCAAATCATCCACGGTGGAGTCCGTCTCAGCCACCACGAAGAGTACACCGTCGCCGTTGCAGTAAATCTCGGTCCGGCCGTCCTCGTCCCTCCTAAGCCGCCCAGCCACCGGGTAAAACGGCACGAGAGCTCTGCTCAGGGAGCGTTTCAGCACTCCCGCGTCGAAGAAGTTACATGAACCGGTGGGCCGGTAGAAGTAGACACTCGGGGTGTGGAAGTTGGACACCACTATATCCAAGCTCGAGATCCACAGCCTCCGCGTCGGGGTATCCTCCGCCGGACGCACCATGGTCGACTCCCTCACATCGATCCTCATCCTACGTAAGGCATCCATGCTATCCTGCGCCTCAATCTCGCTAACATGCACCGGGAGTGTCTCCTTTGCGATTGCTCGATCACCTGCAGTTTGGGAAGGAGGTGATTGAATTGTTGGGAATTACGTCTAATGGTTAAAACTGTTGAAGCAAAAAAAATATTGAATGACTTCTTCAGGCGATCAAAAATATTTAAAAAAAAATATATTACATGAAGAAAACTGTACCTCTAAAATTAATGGTCTTCGTCAGCGCTTGTGGAGGAGAACCACCCTAGAGATATGGTTTTGTAAAATAGAAAGAGAAAATGCAATTGATCATTGGAGGAGACCACGATTCACTCTAGTTGGTCAAATTCGATCCAATTTTTCTTGACACAGCTTTGCCACGTTGCCCCAATTTTTCTTGACACAGCTTTGCCACGTTGCCCCTTTTGCTTGGGAAGGAATCCTCTCCTGTTCCTACCGGTTCAGATGTATGGCCCAGATTGCGCCGCGTCGATTAAAACAAATTGGCGTCGAAAAGTTACCATCCGCGTTTACTTGCCTTTACTTTTATACGCTGTAGTGTATATATTAGTGTATGTATATATTATATTGTGTATATTTAGAGGAATTTACTGAAATATCCTTGATATTAAAAAAATTCTCTAAATTATCCTTCATTTTTCTAGGTCGGAAGGAGAACTGTGACGGCCCTGGTTTTTAGCACAGTGCGTCAGTGATGAACCGAAAGGATGATCCGATAACGGATCCGAATGCGAAAGCGAAAACAGAAAACAAGACTCTAAGAAGTTAAAGTGACCTTTCATGAGGTCGTGGAACTCAATAAGAACTGATGCGGAAGTAAAAGATCGAAAATATGACAAATAAGCCCCCAGAGGCAAAATAGTCATTTCTAAAAACTGTAGATTTGGGTGCCACCGAGCACACCGCTGGAAGGACAACGAAAAATTAATCAAGATGGACTCAAGAATCGCATGATTCGGAATCCGGATGAAGGAGAAACGGCATGACGAAGAAAAGCGAGCACTTAAAGCAAAAAGGGTAAAATGGTAGTTATTCAGGAAGAACTGGGTGCAACTGAGCACACTGTTGGAAAGATAGCGAAAAATTAGTCAAGTTAAAAAAAAAATTCACTTGAATCGGAGTTTGGACGAAGAAGAAAAGCCCAAAAGAAGAATTGATGTCGCGGCGGCTCGACGAGGGGCCATGACAGCCCCATGCGCACGCCCATGTGCGCACCCATGCACGCCGCGTGCGCGCTGGGTGCACACATGGCTGGCTACAGTCCATAAAGCTTCTGTATGGTTTTATTTTCAGAAAAATCCGGAACAGAGACTGAATTTGGAGGCCTAGATGAATTTTTTTGCAAAAACACAAAGAAGAAACCTCCCTCAAAATTGAGTTTTCTACTTGACTTGTAAGAGAATTAAAAAAAAAAACTCACTGTAAAATGGCTAAAACGCCCTCCCAAGAAATCTGGTCAAAAGAGCTAAAAAGTTGCTAAAATGAAAACTGGAAGCTGAAACTTCACGAGGGATTTCCGGTACCAAGATGATGTTTTCTGGAAAAACATGAAGAAGAAACCCTTCCTAAAATCACGTTTTCTAATCGACCATGTCGAAAGAAGTAAATAAAACTGATATAAAAGGTCTAGAATACCCCTAAATCAGATTATGCAACAAAACCTCAAAATGAGTTCCTAGGAGGCTCAAATTGCCAAGGAAGAGGTTTTTCTTGAAAATAATCATGCACGCAAATGTAACATACCTATTAGGACGTGCTACAATGGTCCATGGCTTAAAAATACCACCGATGCAAAATTCGACCCCCCAACAGGCAAAAAGGCGAAGATGAACAAGAAAAGGGAAATTTGAAAACCAAAATTAACAAATGATTTCAAATTACCGTTTGGCCCTTGGCCACACTTCATACATGATTAATGAGATCCTATGAAAGAATAAAAATGGAATTCCCACACCCGATGCAAGCATAATGAAGCAATGACTCGGCATTTTTCAATATTTTCACAATATTTCATGAAGTTAAAAGTTACATAGGCTACAAATTAGATGTCATTGGCCTATGGCCTCATCTCATACATGTCAAATACATTATAAAGAGTGTACTTATGTACACATTACAAAAATAGAATCAAATTTACACATTTTGACATATAAAGCTATAAATGGCATTTTAAGCCAACATTTATAAGAAATGAGAACTTCAAGTCTACAAATCATCCAAGCATGATGTGAATCCCGAATCTTGATTCCGGTACCTGAAAAATGTCCCCACTATGTGGGTGAGTAACATAAAGCTACTCGTAGGAGATGAGCATGCATCGACCTAGCGTTTTACAATTATATCACTTTAAGGTGAAACATGTCAAAGGGGCTCATGCCACCTAACGTCTATGTCAAGTGAGACTCAGGGATCATCCTAAGCTACTCATGCAATTTTAAGTGAACAACGACATACAAGTATACATGCTTAAGTATATTAAACAATGTTAAACATGTTATACAACTGTTGCCCAAGGATTGACTCTAGAGGGGGGGGGGGGGGGGGAGGGGGGTGAATAGAGTCAATGGCCAATTTTCGCAATTTATAGATTTACAATTTCTAATCAACCACTTAAGTAATTAAGCAATATTCAAGATATGAAAGTAAACAATTAATAGCACAATACCCCTACGGACACCAGGAGCAACCAGAGTACTTTCTTACAAAAGTAAAGATACGTATTTCATGGAAACCGCTTAGGATGAAGGTATGTGAAGTCAAAATCCAACTCTGAGCACGAAAAGTGAGGTTATGCTAAAAAGTGACAAACAGGGAAAAGACAAAATAGGAAAAAAGACGAAATAGGGAAAATGACAAAAAGTGAATAATGTCGAAAAATGAAAAATCTGGGAATAACTCGGTGCTCAAAGAAAATTGTCAATCCAAGGAAAAGAGTCTCAGAAATCATTTCAGAGCACTCGAGACGACACTAAGTGATGAAAAACGGAACTTAGAAAGGAAAAGAATAACGGAAAAAAAAATATCCGTGAAAATCTGAGAAAAGGGAAAGGAAAGAAAATGACCGGGTCATTACATTAAACTTGCTGGAGATGGGGATGAAGGAGTAAAACAGGTGGGAATTAGGTTAGGGCTCTCAGAGAGGGAGAAAGTCGGCTCGATGGAAGTGGGAGCCGACTTCCTCAAGAGTTGAGCCAGCTCCATGTGATGTAGAGCCGGCTCCCTCATGAGTAGAGCCAGCTCCATATGATGGGGAGCTGGCTCCCTTTGTGGTAGAGCCCGCTTTACATTTTTTTGAGCTGGCTCTCTTGATTTGGTGCGTATAGGTGATATTTTAGGCACTGTTTGGGTGTTTTGGAGTTTCAGAATGGATTTGGGTTGATTGTAGGGATTCTAAATAATGTTTCAAGACATCTTAAAGTCCCATAATGTATAATTTATAACTGTATGCTAATAGTTAGAACAATATGAAAATTTAAACAAGTTTACATATTATTATCGGATGAGGAGAATTTAATTGCTTAAATATTATTTTAGCAATTTAATGACCGCGATTATGATCTGATTTTAATTTTGTATTGGATGCATAATACGCTAATGGTTAGAACAATATGAAATTTTAAACAAATTAGCATGTTGTTAATGGATATAGAGGATTTAATTGCTTAATCTTATTTTAACAATTTAAAGGACTGTGACATGATTTTTAAATCTTGTATTAGATGCATAATATGATCATATACATATCAAATTTTTATTATGCTTACTCTGGACTATGATTGATGAACTATTTATTTCTGTTCTGTCAATTATATGGATTGTATGCACTAGTATGGGACGTGGCATACTAAGGACGGATTAGTTCAAAATAATAAATCCTACCTACTCTGGAATAAGGGAATGGATTAACTATAAGGTTAGATCCTACTTATATCTGTGTCAGGTCAATAAATAATTGAATGACATACCTTGATTTTTGGATGGATTTATATATATGATTATGGTACCATGATATGAGCTTGAGTCTCAGGATCATGGTTAGGGTGCGCATATCTCCTAGCATGGATAACTGGATATAGTCGACATCTGGTCCCCTGGTAGGTCTAGGTATACATGCCCACTTATTGTGCAATTTGCATGTTACCTTCTATTCAGGTAGAGACAGACTTATGGACTAGTGAGCATCCTATAGTGTGTGTGTATATATATATATGGACTATTTAGTTATTATTGAGTTATCTATGATGTATCTGCGTATCGGGTCTCTACTTGGACTGTAGTAGAGTAGAACTTATTTGTGGTATTGACCCATCATCATTTTTCAGGTATTCGTCAGGAGTAGGGATTGTTTATGCTGAGCAGAGATTGTCTACTTCATTCCTCCGGATTGTCTACAAAGAAGTTCTCTTTGTGATTTTAGTATCTAGTTGTAAACCGTTGGTTATTCAGTTTTGGTTTTCCAGGGGTCCACATATTATGGATTCCCGAGTTGTATAAATTGGTGGATTTCTTGTATCCGGAGAATTTATTAATGAAAATTTATTATATGGTATTATTTATCATTTTAGTTTCTGATTAGCATTTTAGTTTTTCTTATTTTTACTTGTTGTATTCTGTGTTCGATTATTACCATTTATTTTTTATATTCTCGGGTATTCGGGCGTAGGCCTGGCCAATCCGCATCCAGAAATCCAGGGGTATCACAGCGCGTGAGGATCACGCGCCAGCAAGAATGGCGCCATCAGGTGCGTGCCAGCGCGTGGAATGCGTTGGCCACTTCCAGACGCACGACTGGCCCGTGGCACGGGCTGCAACCTCCCTTTGACCCGTGCAAGCGCGTGAGAGTGTGTGGCACGCACTGGGAACATCAGAGGTGCGTGCCAGCGCGTGCAAGGTCCTCCGGGCGCGTCCCAAGCACTGTTTTGCTTCCCTAAGCACGTACCAGCTCCCTACAGGTGTTAACAAGCCGTTGGTGGATGCTCGTACAACAAGAATAGTATTTAAATGTTAAAAGCTAATTCCATTGGCCATTTTATTTGCTTTTGTCTGTTGTTTAATAATTTATATGATGCATGGAATAATTAATTGCCGATTATTATTGTTCATGCATTGGATCCATGATTTTTTATCTAAATGACTTGATTTGTATTAATTAAATTATGAAATTTAATTGGATTTGATTACTAATTAATTAGAGGGCACTTATTGGGAAACGAAAAATTATTTTTGTAAATTATTTTTAAAGTGTACCTCAAATTAAATATTAGTGAATCATTTAAAAGTCCAGATATTTTCTAAATTTA